ACAGTGAAAACGGAAGCGAAGAACTCGTTAAGTATACTGGCCATATCCTTATCACTTGCAATCAACTCCCTCTTTTCGTTCATTAGCGGCCCGATCGACTGTCGACACCTACCACTACTATACGATGAAAAGCCTTAAAGTTCTTCTTAGCATCGCTAGCCAGCCGTTCCTCGACCTCCCGTCTCGCAAATCTAATTTCCTGCTTCAACGTCCGCGTGATCCTCCTATATTCCTCATTGTCCGTGCTATCTCCCGTCGGCTTGTACGCATCCCATTTCCGCTTTTTATCCCCGATGAGAGCTTTGATTTTACCCGTAAACCAGACCGGTTGCCTGCCCGATTTTATGGATTTCTTGGTGATGCATTCCTCCATAAAGCCCTGCAATAACGTCTTGAACGCCCCCCATTGCTTCTCTACCGTCAGCCCACGGAGCCGCGCCTCCCAGTCGATGCCCGAAACGCATTCACGTAGTCTCTCGAAATTAGCCTTCTTATAGTTGTACGAAACCTTCCTCGGTTTGGCCTTACTCTTCGTCCGCTTGATATTCCACGTGATCGCGCAGTGGTCCGAATCTCCCAAGTTATCCTGTACCTTAACGTCTCGTGCCAGATCGTCATTCGTCGCAAAAACTATATCCAATAAAAGTCGGTTCATTTACGTACTGAACGAGAAGAGCGTCCTGAACCGCAACGAGAAATTCCCTATCCCTTTCGCACTCCCTTTGCGGCACCGACCAATCTATCTTTGGCATGTTAAAGTCTCCAAAGAGACCTGCTTCGAGATCTCGCCGATCCTACACATGAGTGCAAAATAAGTTGCTTCATCCTCGAGAGAAGAGTTAGGGGGCCTATATCAAATTCCTATCACGATCTTCCTAGTATAATAGGTATACAGATCTAGAGAATGTTTAAAAGTTAATTACGGAAAGCGTATGTTGCAGATGCATGAAATAGGTCGAACTTGTGAGTGGAACCAAAGCTTCACAAAACTCGTGTACATTCTCGTGATATCCTCCTCACGTTCGACATCTCTATACACACAAAGCTCACTCCTCGTTTCTCATGTTCCTTTCTTTTCGCAGTTGGAAGTCTGGGATGCAATTGAGGGGGTTTCCTTAAATGTGACATCGGAGAGTCCCAACAGATCTGTGGCGAGTGGATCAGGGGATCAAGAGAATACTTTCCCTATAGTCAATACCATCATTTTCACGACTCTTGTGAAGAATGGTGAGGTTAAAATGTGCCGAATTCTGATTGCCAATGTTGCGAATTATCGTCCTTTTGGAAATTATGAATGAGAGATAAATCAGCTTCAAAATCGAACAATAAATGAAATGATTATGTCGACGTTACTTCCATCGCAGGTGTTGTCAGCAAATTCCAGATTGTACAAGACAACAAAACTGTACTCGTTGAAAAGGAGGCAGCTGACATGTTCAATCCTTCCGGAGAAATCATGCCCTTCAAATTTAAAGAGGTGTGTACATTCAAGTGTGTTTTTACCCAGATAAACATAATCGCTCAACGTGTTGGTTGCAGGATGGTGTAAAAAAGCTGATTTTGAACGCCTACAACAAGATCCAGGGCTGGGTCCAGTCTGGAACGTACGAACTTGTACTTTTGGGTCAAGGGATTAGTCTCGTCATTGATGACTTCAACATCATTACCAAACCGGTAAAATAAAAGAATAGGATTGCGTTGAACGTCTGCAGAATGAATTTAGTGGTTCTACCAATCGTTTTGCTTCCTGGTCTGATAGGGAATTTTGAAGGAGATGGAAATTCGTTCCAGTTCATTGTCACCTACGGCCTGTTTAATCGTCGACTTCGGAGATGAATCCTCAGCATTTTCTTTTGGAAATGAAGACACCTGCTCCAATCATCCCACTGCTTTCTACCAACAAGATACGCCCTTGACCAATCCATTGAAAATCTACCGCTACTATTGGTAAGTGCAGATTATTTAGTTTGCAGACACATTATTTAAACATGTTCAGAACAAAAACTGAAGTATATTTTATAGAGGAAATCCTCAAGTGTAAAGGACCATCAAGTAGAGGAACTTAAGTGATCAAAGTGGATTAGTTCCTGTTACTGGAGTTCAAGGAGATTTTTCCAAATTGTGCACCCTTTTCTCCATTTTTCTTATGACAGTAACAGAAAACGAGTCACCTATTATGCCATTTATCATATCCTTATCCTTAAGAATCGATTTGTGTACACCTAGCACAGTTGGTTTTGCAAGAAAAGGGAATTCAAGTAGTCGAAATGGATCCTCCTTGCGTGGAAGTGAGCCTTATGAAAACGAACCGTAGACATGACTGTTTTGTGGTGAAAGATTATATTTCGAGCGAATTGCAAAGCAAAGTTGGACTTCACCACATGGTGAAGCCCTCCAATAATTGTAGTGCCATGCTTCAATCTGAAACCAAGGAGACCAAAGCAGTTGCATGTGTATTTCAGTATGATCATGACTGAAGATATGCGTTCCTGGGAAAGACAACCACTGCGGAAAATTTGCAAGCACAAGGGCACAAAGTTGAACCGCCTGCTAAAGTCACTCCTCGCCAATCAATGGGAAGAAACAGTGACCATGTCGACAGTCACGATTTCCACTGCGTCCGGAAGGCCCTCAATCGGGAACGGCAGAAAATATTTCCTCCACTTCCATAAAATCAAGACAAATTGCATTCTGGTCTCGAAAAGCTGGCACCGAAGAATCACCCGAGGGAAAGTATGCTTGCAGTGAAAGACCAAGATGGAGGAAAAGTACATGTAACATACAGTTCCTTTGCGATGCTAATGGGATCCATGGGGATGGTACCTTCATGTACTGCGGCAAATTCGTCTATCAGCTCTACACCTTGCATGTATTGAAAAATGAGCATTTTGTTCCAGTTGTTTTCTGTCTACTGCCATCGAAGAGGGAAGAGATGTGCGATGCTTAACTATGCTCAAGGAAGAGAGCAAAATTGTTTTTGTTGTTGAATGTGTCACACAAACATCATGATTTTGAGAAAGTGGCTTACAATGCGATGGTATCGGTCTGGCCTCATGCAATCATCGAAGGCTGCCAACTTCATATAGGAGAGGCATGCTTCCCAAAGATGCCACATCTGGGCCTCAGGAGGGATTACACTCAATCGACAACAGACGTGACTTTGCTCTTGATCTCGAGCCTGCATTGGCATCTGATAAATGAGCTCAAAAGTTTTTGTGATTGTTTAGCCAAGAATTTCATTGACAATCATGTGGGCTGAAGCATTTAGCGCGTCAATTCCTACCACTACTGAAAGTTTTCTGGCTCACTTCAATCGTTCAGTTTACGCTTCACATCTCATGTGTTCAACTTAATCGAAATCTTGGACGGAGTGCAAGCAGAGGTCAACTTGGAGATTTGGACAATAAGGAAGAGCCTCGTCAAGTGCCGAAGCAAGAAAAGCTGCGGTCGAACTTTCTCGATCGATACATCCAGCAATGTCAATAAAACCGCATCATCAAGTTTGATTTTGTGGAGGAAGCCTCCCACAGACTCGAGTCTGTGGGAGGCTTCCTCACAAAATCAAACATCCCACAAAATCAAACACAAAATCTTCCTCCACAGCTGTTTCACTCTAAAAATAAAATTATTGCCTTTCATGTTAGAAAAGAAAGACTTATTGACTGAGTTTTGATATGATTACAATGACAATTTCCATTTTTATGACGCTATGCAGGGGAGTTGCGCTGAAGAGGATCGATAAACAGGACTAGACAGTTCTGCTTGAATATTTTAAAAACTTTTCTATATTATCTTAGTAGTTTATTGTGCTCAAATGGACAATTGGAGCGTCAGCTGTGCGCACGTGGGCCATGTGTTGGGTCTAAACCAGATAAACCCTGTTTCCATAATTGGGTGCATGGGAAGCAGGTTATGCCAAGAAAAGGGCACTGCCCTTCCCAGTGTGTCAAGAAAAAACAAACTTTTCTGGTCATTTTTTTAACACCTCGCTAAGATTCGCGGAAAGCGTGATTCGGCCCAAAGCAATTATTTCACTAGATAGAACGAGGAATTTCTTATTCATAGTAAAAGATAATTTGATATTGAACTGTCTCTGTAGTTTGTTGATTCAGAATGACCATTCTGTGCTTCCCCATATCGATCTTCATATTCTCCCATCATCAGGGAATTTGTAACGGTTTTGCAGGAAATTTGCATAAATCCAGCAAAGAAATTTGTTTTTATTTTGCAGGAAAGAAAGTGCTTACAATGTGACTGCTGGTGCATGGGACGGGAAGTCAAGCGCTTCTGCTTTTCTCGTGATCGTCGTGTCGGAAATGGATTGTTCCTTTCCTAATGTTTCCATCAGATCACAATCTAATAGCATTCCCAAAGCAGACGGTTTCACCATTACAGGAGTGGCTCAAATCAACTGCAGCGAGAACAGTCTCACGAAGTATCCGATTTTCTTTTCCTCGTTGCATCTAAAAACTTATATCCTCGTAATGCCTGCAGGTATTTGTGACCCCTAAAAAATATAGCTTTTTAATATGTTTTGCATTCGCCTTATCATATTTTTCTGGTTTAAGATGATATTTTTGCATATTTTTTTATTTTTAGGCATAAAAAGCTGGGACGTTCTTTGAAAAGCAGTTCTAGGATAACTATTTTCTTAAATCAATGTAATCCTGAATGAGCCTGAACGCCGTGTGTCATCACGTGCATTTATTATAATTTAATCCTTTTCATTTTTTTACACGCACGTAGTAGTATCATGTTCCTGTACATGTAGTAAATGCCCGAGGGCCACAAATGGCACCTCAGGCAGACGGGGCTCGTGTGACAAATTTTGAAGTGCAGCTTGCATTTTCTTTTTCCTAAGACGGATATAGACTCCGCTCAGCGAAAATCAACATCAGAAAATCAACAGCAACAAATGCGAACTTGGGAAGACTACGATATATAGGTTGATTTTTGAAAAATGCTTCACCGTTTTCTCAGAGAGGAAGTAACTTTCATATATTCGAGGAGATCCATAAACTCTTGATATTGGACATATGCAAGGTTTGAGAAATTTGTCTGAGTTTTTCTCAGAACAATTCTTTCAGTTATGCATTGTCCCGTTACTAAATTTACAAGTGGATCATTATGCCATGATAAGGATGTCAATGAGAGGCACGAAGGAATGTCCCGGGTTCAGTGGTGTAACGGAAGCACACCTGACCGGTAATCAGGAGGACCGGGTTCAATTCCCGGCCGTCCCCTGGCTTTCTTTCGTCCTCTCCACCATCCAATCTTCCCTCCCTGCCATTCTCATGACAATTACACCTCAAATGCAGTAATAGTCTATGCTCCATCATCTCAAAATTCAATTAGTTTGCCCAGTTTTGGCCTTAAGTCGATTTTGACTAATTTCATATTATTTAAATTGCCTTCGAGACCAAATCTTTTGAAAGGGCTCTCAGATACAATTGATACTTGACAGAGAGGCTCATGTAACGTTCAAAGGCTCAAAAAAAAACTTTACAGGTGTTTCTTTCCTACCTAAAAAGTGGCGTAGCACGAAGATAGGGGCCCTTTCGGTCAACCTATCGACAGGCGCCCCCTATCGACATACAGCGCCATTTTGCGAATTTGAAGATAAAACTCATGAACTTCTCTGTCAAGTATCAGTTGCATCCAACTGTCCCTTGAAAATTTATAGCCAAACAAAATAGGATGGTGACACAATAACCATGTAGTCAGGAATTTAACGGCTGTAGGTTGGAGGCCATTTTGCACCCCATGATCAAATTAAAACTCACTTTCCTCGACCTCCGCTCGAAGTACAGACTTTTTTTGTCTGTGGGGCTATTATCAATATAATCCGACCATATATCAAATCTCATTAAATTCCAAGACGATCGAGCACAGATCATTACCTCACTTAATGTGGAATGATCCACCTCTAAGCACCTTTAATTAATCTTTAAATGAGCATTGCACGACTTAGGCAAGGGTGCGGAAAAGAAGCTGGCATACATCTCAACACCTTGTAACCGTCAAATGTTGATCGCATAGCCAAAGTGCAATTTTTTTTAATGCTTCTCCCATGGAAAACGGTAGAGCGTTTTTCTAATCACCCTATAAATCCTTATTTTTAACTGGAGCCAAAAATGACTACTCGTGCCACTAGAATCGCAAATAGCAGGTCCGGTATACAATGCAGTACAAATAATTAATTCAGCAACTTGGAGCAAAGAGGATAGCTTTGCATATGATTGAGACATCCGACGGGTATTCTTGGGAAATGCTATGATATCTCCGCACCATGGGTGCGGGAAAAGATTGCTGAAAAACCTTACTCCTTGAAATTTTCTCACTTCTCACTACTCTTTATTTGCAATAAAGCGAACGTTCCGCTGTCAATGCGTAAAGGATTTATTCTCATGATGTACTGCTTTTCGGGAATATATTGATATTAAGGCACATCTCAAGGACTTCCTACTTCCATAGAACAGAAGGCTGGCGGTTTGGCCAACTGGTGTTGATTCAAATAGTTGAGCACACTAGGTTTTTCTGACATTTTAGACTTCTGAAATGCTGAGATAAAATATTCAAAAAATGTAAAAATTCGCAGGGACGAGTTCAGATGCTTTGATTACTTATAATTCAGCGATTCCAATTTTCAGGAAACGTTGGGAAATATGGTTAGATGCAGAGACGAGGGCTATTCCAATAGAAGGAGTCCTGGACAGCTGGAACAAGTCTCGTCTTACAGTGCCTCCCTTTTTCCTCCCCTATGGAATATACAAAATCCGTTACACCGTGAGGATGTGGGGTAGGTTGACCCTTATTTTTTTTGTAAATGCTGCTCCTCCAGGGCTAAGGTCAAAGGCAGTGGTTCTCAACCTTTCTTTTACTCCCATTGAACCTTCATGCATTCGGGGGGGTGACACCTCCCAGGTTGAGAACCACTGGTCTAAGGGCTAAGGTCCACGTATATTTCGTAATAAGATGGATGTGGTCCTGGGGAGGCTACTACGATTGGGTTATGATCTTGTGTCTGTAAGTCACGAAGTGATAGGTATAATTGAGTCTTGTAAGAGTAGATAAAAGGGATTTAACTGCTTTTCTCCTCGTGACGCCCCCAAGAGTACATGGTAGGGAAACTTCTCACTGTTTCGTCCAGTGCATATATGAGGGTAATCAAAAAGTTATAAGCTCGCGGCACTTCCAGTCGCAATGTTCTATTCTCCATTACTTATACCATCGTACCATTTTGGTACGATGGTATAAGTAATGGCAAGTTTATCATTTCTCTTCTCATAGGAAAACATGTCTTTGATGGCGACTTACAGAATTTCATCGTATTTCTCGATTTAGGATAGCTTCTATAATTTTGTTTTCAATGAGCTACCAAAGGGTGTGCTAAAGGAGTAATAACATTTAGACGAACGTTGTGATGACTTTTCTAACCATTAAGGCAGTGGTCGGCTACTGGCAGCCCGCGGGCCTGATCCGACCCGCAGAAGCTCTTTCTCTTGCCCGCACAGGCACGGCTATCGCACATTACGGTCTGACAGTCGCCGTTCGGCTGGAAATTTGATATCAGACTTTCATCAAAATTAAAATTTTAATGACACTTGATAGGTGTTGGCCCGAGAACGCGTAGCATTTTTTCATCCGGCCCCCAGTGAAATTCATTTGCTGACCAATGCACTGAGGAGTTGATCTCCATGCAGATCTTATAGAGGAGGGTCAGTAGGACTCTATCCTTTCTGTCTCTGAGACAAGACTGTGTGATGAATCCCAGGAAAGATCTTTCAGGACTCCATACGAAGATTTTGGTTGATATGAGATCATTGGTATGTAGATTCTTTGAATTATTCAACTCAACATTCGAAGTGGATCACTCTTAAAAATAACTACACGTTCATTGGTTCAGTACAATCATATGGTTCTTGCAACCCGGATAATTTTGTTTACAGTCAAATAGGTCTCCGAACGATCGTATGAAGAATAGTTCGAGTATATGTACCCGATATGCGCCTTACTTAATCGCGTTCGTCGCTACCCACGAATTCGATAAGGATTCACTTTGATTGTTAAGCGGTATGTATCAATGTCATGCTGACAAATCGACGCCTCCCAGTCAGTATCCCCGGGGCCAAGTGTGTTTATCTCCGTACAGTCAGATGTTCCCAGCTTGGCCCAGGTTCACGAGCCACACATGTACACATGCGCCACGGGTGTAACATGCTTAGGGCTTAGTGTCCGCGTTTTCTGTGGCACCCAGTCTAATACATATGTGGGCAAAGTTTGGCGTATGTGAATGGTAAGCCCGCGACAAGTAGAGCCATGGTACGAACAAGTATGGTACAAGTATGGTACGAACGAGGTGTATGCAACCGAATATTACTAATTATACTACGTTTCAGGAAGAGGTCCAAAAGGTTCCATGGAATGTACACGAATAAAATTTATTGTTTCCTCATTCCGACTTCAGAACAAAGAATCGGAGAATGTATCCGTGAACACGTTATTGTTCTAGAACTCCTTTTGAATGATATTACCCTATTAAAGTAAATTATTATTATCGGAATATGAGCTTGTTCATAGCCTGGGCTCCATGAGTCTGTCTCGAATACGGGGATAATAAATGACGATGTGCCCGCGTTGATCGATTTCTATAATGAGATTAGGCGAGACATATGGCGGGGTACTAAACACTCCTGTGAGGGAAAATTCCAGGGAAAGAGGGAAGGCACTTTGTGCACTGTGCGAAAAGCGCTCCATCTAGTGGCACGGAGGAAAACTTCAACATTTAACAAAGACCTTTAAGTGCAACTTTGGCCCATTGGATCTCCGCGGTCATTTTTGAGTAATGCACCTCATGATTAAAATCATACGTACGGTTCTCATGAAAGCTTCAAAGCATTAGCAGAAGTTTTCATTGATCTTCAGTCGAATTGCATTAGTGCGTGAAACATCCATGTCCGCCAAGCGTGGGTTAAGTGTGCCTTCTTGAGCCACAGATAATGTAAGCACTGAAGAGCAACAGAAACGCTACAGCTTCCGCAGATACGCCAATCTATGGCCACACATACACGGCTGACTGGGACTATGTGATGTGACAGACCTAAGGAACCGCATACAGGAAGCATTCACCAGCCTCACGCAGGTAATTTTGGTGAAGACGCTGACTGCACCCTCGTACCGCTAGGAATTGTGTCGCCAGCTATACGGTTGACATGTGGAGGACAGACATGGATATTTATTTTTTTTTAAGACCTTACCACAAAAATGTAAAGGGAGTAAGTTTATGTGTGATGGCTTTCATGGCAGTGAAATACTTTGCTTCTGAATTATGAGAGATTATTTTTGGGTCATACCTTTATGGACACCCTGTATATCAGTATTTTTTCACTCATAGGCTTGTATGGAAAGTGATGGAGATGGACTTTACGGACGATGCGGACAGGGTCGCGATCAATACGCGAAAAAGTGCCGATCAATGCGAGAACGGTGTTCCGATCAATAGTTCTTGCTTGGATTACTAATAGAAGCATATGTTCTCATACTGAGATCCCAAGGCAACGTTAACTGCTCTTTCAACAGTGCCCCATCCCAGAGAACCCCTTCGGAGCTAGCGTAATTCGCCCAAGTTCGAGCCCCTCAGCAGATTTGCCTAAAGACAAATTTGAGACAGTATTGATTCGATCCCCGTAATCGATGCTATAACCCTTTCAGACCTGGCGTCCATTCCAATGGACATTGCATTTACATTGCGTCTATGGCAATTCCTTTGGATTCTCGTGACTTCGCGCTTTATATTACGTTACAATGGGCACAATTATGCATGGCTCAGTTCCATAAGAGGTTTTCTTTCACCCATTAGTTTTGTAATCTTCAGTTATTTAACTAAATGAATGAAATATAATATATGGTATATTATAAATTTATATTAAAAAATATAAAAGCTACATAAAAAGAATGAAAATTTCGATAAAATCACAAAAGAGCTTTAAAAAAATGTAAAAAATGACATTCCGATAGCGGCCTTAATTCAGGTCTGAAAGGGATAAGCCAATCATATCTTGTCGCATCGTCTGCCGAGTGGGTAGAGCAAATCAAGAATCACTTGTCATATAGGGCCTGAAACATAGGTGTTTCTCTTATTTCCCCGGATCTGGGGTCGTGGAATTACGATGATTGCGATGGAATTATGATGATTCGCCGCCATTCTCGGAACTCTATGGAACGAATCGTGTTCTAAGTTTTTTTCCGTTTCTTGTGGAACTTTCTCTTGCTCGAAAAAGTTCCACAGCTGTCTTTAAAAAAAATTTGCTGCGGGGTTCGAACTTGGGCGGATTACGCTAGCTCCAAAGGGATTCTCTGGGATGGGGCACTGTTGGAAGAGCAGTTAACGTTGCCTTAGGATCTCAGTATGAGAAGATATGCTTCTATTATTAATCCGAACCAGAACTTGGAACCATTCCACTTGGAATTGGCTAACAGTCGTAAAGGAATCTGAGCAAGAGTGGCAAATATTTTTCAGATGAAATGCATGCTCATGATCAAGAAAAAGTTGAGTTGAGAGCAGAGTATAAAATACCAATGAGAATGTCACCAGAAGAGTAAATGAAGAAGCAGGCTTCGCCCGATGATAATGTTTTGTTTAGACGGTTTGCGGTGAACCTTAGGTAAGATTAGGAATACTCAAATTTCCTCCTAGTGTCAACATACTCCCTTTCCCCTTTCACTCCCCAACTTTCCCTGAATTGGAAGAACGGCTTTATATTTTTTTTGTTCACCTGATGCATACTCTACGTTACTCAAATGGTACATCATGATGTCCTATCGTTTCTCTGACAATGAAAATATTTTTTTTGCAGGGACACCCGATCTGCAATTACTCCCGGTGGAAAGATATGCCGATACTTACGTAGAAATCACTCCCTCGCCACTGGTCGCACTTCTCTACCCAGGAGGGATGTCAATGAGTGAACGCTTTCATCCCGCCCAAACAGAATTGAACCCTTATGCTTACTCCTACGACCCTGATGCACCTGAGGACAAGACTGTTTGCACCAAATTTCATGAATATACCTCCGCCATTCGGGATTTTAAATACATATTAATCGCGATACCTTCATTCATGCCAGGGCATGACGTTCGAGTACTTCTGCAAGAGGGAGTTTGAATCCTTTCCGATGGTAAATGGAGATTATGACCATACCACTCGTCCCATTCCGAAAACAATGCCCACTTCAGACGGTGGAGGATGCTTTGGCAATGGACCTGGTTCGTCTCCAACAAATGCATTCACTTTGTTATGACTAAATCCATATCAATTGTTTCTAAATGCATCAACTGAATGCGTCCAATGCACATTGGGTGACAGAATTGTGTGCACTTGCTACGGGTATTTGATAAGTCATTCGACTTCGTTCATAAGCTGATGGCACGAAGTATTGTCATGCCATCCTGCACAAACTTGCAGGATGGCAATGTAGGGGACCGAACCGTGATGGAGGATCACAGTGAAAGAGCAGTGCAAGTGTGAGGTATAAAGTCTTTTGAAGGACAAAAAAAATCCCATTTTCAACATTCTGAGAAAGTGGCATGAGCTGCTGTTACATTACAGAGATTCAATTCTTTAAGAAGCTGATTGCCTTGCCTTGTTTGTTTTACCTTGAAGGTACCACTTTGAAGTTTCAACTGATTTTTAAAAAAATAGGGATGTGCTTTGAAATTATTTTTGAATAACGGTGCTTTGAGTTCAGGAAGATGGTCCTGCCTGTTAAATTATTCTAAATTTTAAGAGTTGTCGCATGATAGTTGTCGAGTAGGGACAATCAGTCCCTTCCTGTGGTCCTACCTCTTGGTGTCACTTCACAATGCCCATTCTCCAGTAGTAAAGAATATTGGACCAAATGTAATATTGGTGTAAGATTCTATGCCAAGTTAGAAGAGTAGACATGGTTGGGCAGAAATGAACCGCCTCGAATAATGGCGATTCTCGACCCCCTGGGAAATGGACGTCACTGGTATACGACTGCTCCTTTCGAGCAATTTTCCGCGAAATGGCGGAAGGGAATCCATCAGACGAGAAAGAGGCGAGGAGGATTTGATACTGAAAGTTCTTGGGGATGCGATTGTCGTTAGAAGATATCATGATTTTTGGAAGTAGTTGACATGAGCCTCTTGTCCTTTTGAAATGACTATGAAAATGTGTGCTCATGGTCAGATTTCCTCTTTTTGTGTTGTTCTATGCCCAAATCAGAGGAAGGAAGTTTGATTGCTACGGTCATGACAAATCACTTGATTTTCGTGAGCATCTATATTCCCTCTCCAACGAAGGATCTTTTTCCTCTCTTATCCTTGCTGAACAACGCAGAGTTTGTGAAACGAATCATGATGAAAAGCCGCGTTCTTGCAAATATTCGGGATATTCAATGATTGACTCGGAATTTCGATTGCATCGTCTCGGTGAAAGATGCCAAGCCTACCGCAACCGGGTTACTTTGGGATCCCTCCCTTAGTCCACTTCAGGAATTTCACATTCCGCGCGTTTTCATCATATCATCTTGGTCGTTCCCAACCCAGGATCCTATGAAACGATGAATCGAAAGTCTCTCTTTGAAAGTTCTCTCCGTCGGCTCCAAAATCGTCAGGCGTGTTTTTGCAGGCAGCGACTGCACTTGCTATCGGCATCTCCGAATGCTATGAATCTGGCATTGCCAGAATCAAACAATGCAATCGTGCATGCGCAATGGAATAAAGGTGCACAAGAGCAAGGTAATATGACAAGAAAAATGTGACCAATATAAAATTTTTAACAGCAAAATTTATGAGAGAAAAGAGATTTTATCAATCAACCAAGAGAGTACATACCAATGACGTCATCGCCCTCTGAGACCCACACCCTGCTGGGATGTAGCCCAACCCTGTCATCTCTTCTAACTAGGGCTGTACCGATACATCGGCTAACATGGGTATCGGCAGCCGGTGTTGCATTATCGGCATCATCGGCCATTGGCCTGTGGCAACGGTGCCGGTGCCGGTACCCAAAGGACGGGCACAGCGAAAAAATAATGACGTGAGGGTGTTCATGCGCCTCATCGCCGGCCCTCCTGTCTCACTGAAAGCAATTCCTGCCAGCCTCTCTCAGGCAAAAATATCGATCGGATTATATTAAGGCTGTATTATAGGAACTGGCGGAGGAAAGTTGCAGTAAAAACGGAAAATCATTGCATCTCCATTTAAGTTATGCTTTTGCAAGGGATGTGTCACAAAATGCTCTCAACTGCAGCAATGGGTAGCAAGCTAACCACGCATAGAAGCATCGAGAGACAACCAGGTTGGACAGGACTAAAAGTGATCTCTATCATTTCCAGGAAACCTACTGATTAGTATCACATGGTTTTCAATTAGGCTTTTTTGAATTTATAGGCAATTTATTATACAGGTCACAATTTGCACCGCAACCAGCACCGGCCGATGGTTATGATAAAAAAATCGGCCATCGACCCACCGGCAAAATGTTGCCACCAGTACAGCCCTACTTCCAAACTAGGATTCTTCTGGGGATGTTCCTGGGGATTTGCCGTCACCTTGAGTTCTCTTACGGACTCTGATAAGATGACGAAGTGGAAGCCTCAAAATCTCTCAAATGACACGAAGTCAAATGTTTTCTAGCATTTTTCTTCGAGTAATATCGAAATGATTATAAATGCTATATAAGGTAGAGTCGCTTGTGTACTAACGCTTCCCACGGCTGGCACATGTGAATTGACTATATATGAAATCTTCCCCTCAGCAAATAAAAGTGTGGCAATTTCATCAAAGCATAGCTCACGAACTCGCTTTTCCCATATCATTCTTACTTGGGCACATGAGAGTGGAATTTATTGGATATTCCACTCAACAATATTTCCAATGACAACGTGTAATGAGAAAATGACATATTCGTCGCACTTCATATTTTTTTAATTGCCAAGGCATATTTTGAGACTGATTTCCTCGCCGGATTCTTAATTCAAATAAATAGTGCTGAACCTTCCTCACGAAATCTCTCATTCGAGCAGGTGCATTGGATTTTACGGGTGGCAATCTTACAATCCCAAACACCTACTTCTTTGTGTTGGACTTGCACAATATCATGGTTGTGGTAAGGAAAGGGGACCGGAAGGGAGTGGCCTACATGGATGCCTTGATCACTATGAGAACAGTCCCTTCATTTCCGCTTCCAGTAATTGCGTAAGAATTCCTTTTTTTCATGAACCCAATACTTCCCCACGTTGGAGAATTATCTTATGAGTCGAGATATGGGTTAAAATTTTCACCGTTTTCCATGTTTCCAGATGCAAAATGCCGTCATTGTGTCAGCATCCAAAAGAAGTTGGAATTTACATAAATCCAACGGCGCGATTTGCCCTTGAAGGAAAATGCCCCGTATCATGCATGGCTCTCAACTACCATTGGACTCTGCGTATGGTGAATTGCTCAGGGGATCGATGCGTAGCCAACAAAGAGCCTGTTCCAGAAGATCCCAATTTGTTCCCTGGTGAGTTTATCAATGCCAAGTTTAGACGCCATCCAAATGCAATTTTCAAAACCCAAGCGATCGCAAGTGGATGCGAAAGGCAAAATCAGCTCATGGAATACATTTGAAATGTATCATGCATAGACATGTAAAGACAGCGCGTCTCAATTTCTGTTTCAGTCGGTACTAACCTGAAGGAGATATCTTTGTCTTATGACATATTCACGCGACTTAAGGCGAATGGGATGAACAGATTTCGACTGAGGTTGGATTCATTTGATCCAAACACGAATGAATCAGGTATAGCGATCAGCAGCACTTTGTTCCATTTTGATTAAGCATTATGGTTAAGTTTGGATTACAACATTCGTGGTTTACCCTACAGCACTGGCCGAAGACTACCTCATTTTGAACGAACCGCCAATACCGGGATCTTGCGTGGCAGATCGTCCCAATGGATCCATTCTGAAAGCATTAGTTGATGTCATTACAATATCTTGCTCTGATTGGTACGACAACGAGACCAGCGTTCATGAGTACAACTTCTACTGTGAGTTCCTCCAATTTACTTGCAAAAGCCTCGACATCGCTCTGCAATTATCAATGCCTTTCCATAAAATAGTGTTTCATAACAGACACCCCAAATTTGGTTGCTCGTAACTCAAGAACTTATTATATACATTTAAAGCAACTTTAGCACATTCCTCTGGCTATCCTTTATTTCTAGTAATAACGTCAGCATGAATTCTTTTTTTTTAAGTTTTCACACTGTTCATCTTATATATCGCGACATTCTTGACAGTGCTTGGGGGTATCACTGAAAATACGTTGAAACATTTCCATGTATATCGCCTCGATTTGCTCTTTGATGCGTGCCTATAATCGGTCCATGCTTCTGGGTTTAGTTTTGTTGACAACGACCTTTGAATATTCCCACCCTGCTGAAAAAACCTCATGAGATTCTCATGAGGTTGACTTCATGGAGTTTTCGCATTGAGGCGCCATTTGCTTTTTGGCCCAATAGCCACGAAAAGTCTCTTGGGACTCAGCTTGGAAGGTTCCGTGAGTCCTTCCTAAGAAAAGCAATCAATTAAGAAATAATATATATGGTTAAACATCTTTCATTTATTCCATCTTCAATGCGTCATTCCATCTTGCAGGCCAGAATTGTCTGAAGTCTCCCTAAACTGAGTTATCTCTTCGGACAAGTGTTTTTAGGAAATCAAATATCTTTGATTATGTTCAATGTAGAAATAAAAACGCAAACAACTTGGTGAATACAGGAGAGATGTTCCAGTGAGATCAGGGCATTCATCCCATCAAAGCGGCTATACAGTCGCCATCTCGCGTCGGTTGTGTACTGCAGAAGAAACCTCATGAGATCCTCATGAGGTTTTCGAACAAGAAGTCTCATGAGGTCTCATGAGGCCTCGATCTTCATGTGGACGTTTCGAAGCCTCATGAGGAACCTCTGAATTCTCATGAGAAGGTCGTGAGATCTCGTTAAGTACCTCATGAAGATTACATCATGAGGATTTCCTCATGAGAAATTCGGACAACCTCATGAGAAAGTCGTGAGATGTCATGAGAAAATCGTGAGGTCTCATGAGACTTCATGAGTTTGTAGAGAATTTTTTTCAGCAGGGCAGAACCAAATATCGGTATCAGTTAAATCGTGGGAATCGTTGAAGCCATTCAATTGGTTCCGATTTGATTCTTGCCGAGTACTAGATTTGAGAATAATTAAAGGGGGGTTTCCGCGTGACCAAAGCCAGAAGCTTGTAATAATTAAAGGCCCACATCAGAGAGCAAATTGAGGTGATACCAATGGAAATGCTGCATCGCACGATGAATCGTACATTCAGTTATACGCTCGGGCACTGTCAAGAATGTCTCGATATACGAGATGAACAGTTTGAAGGCCTTCACAAAAGATTCCACCCTGATGCTATTATTACAAGTAAAAAAATGCCAGAGGAATGTGGTAAAGCCTGTTTTATGTTTCTATCATTTTTAGTTCGAAAGTTTTTTAGCAGTAAAGCTAAGGGAGTCATTTTTCTGATACGCCCTGTAAGCTCTATCTTCTGAAAGCATAGAAGAAATTACTCTGAATTCACCAGTACGACAGCAAGCTTCCCTCATAGAAGCCTATTAGAACGATCGCAGGTCCTTCTCATGAAGCATGTCTCCTTTATACTGTTATTGTGTTAGTGTCTGGTTTTTGTGGCAAAAACACCATTACGATTTCGACATGATCCATGGAGGAAAGCGAAGAGTCTGTGCTTAATGTGAAGCATCAAACGTGATACAACTGAAGATCTACATATTTCCTGCAATCCTGTAATTATATGTGATACTACAGGATGGCGCACGAAAAACAGGCCCGCCTCGTAGGCAATCGTGGGCGTAGGTCTCGGACTCCATACAGGAAATTAAACAAATGCAAATGCAAAGATCTGTACTTACCGGTTAGAGAAGGTGCTGAAAATGATCTCCTTGTGCGTCAATGCACTTTTGTGCACGCCGCAGCATATTGTCATACACGCGATGCAACTCAGCGGCGTCAATTCTCTGAATTTCAGTCCGAATATTTTCCTTCAGGTCTTCCAATGTTTTTGGATTATTTGCATACACTTTTCCCTTCAAATTGCCCCACAGACAAAAGTCACAAGTGGATAGGTCCGGCGATCGCGGCGGCCACAAACCTTTGCTGACAGTTCGTTCCTCTGTGAATACGTCGTGAATTCGAGACAGTGACTCACGAGAAGTGTGACAAGTCGCTCCATCCTGCTGAAAGACGGCGTACTCGCGTTCATGGGGCGTCAATTGTGCGTAGAATTCCTCAAAGATTCCCATATACACACGACTGTTCACGGTTGTCTCAAAAAATATGGGACCCACAATCCGTGTTGCAGACACTGCACACCAGACTCCGATTTTTTGATCGTGAAGGGGTTGTTGATGAATTGTATGGGGGTTGTCTACTGACCAGTATCTGATGTTCTGAGAATTTACATGTCCTAACAGATGGAACCAAGCTTCATTGCTCATGAAATACAGCAGGGGATCCAGCAATCCACTCATAATTGTTTGAAGGAGCCACGTGCAATAATACACGCGTTTTGCCTTGTCTTCCTGCTTCAGTTCTTGGACACATGTCATTCTGTAAGGCTTCATCTGTAGAGAGTGCAACACACGTTGGCAAGACCTGCGCGAAACATTCGTTCGTTGCGATAATTTACGTGTCGACTTAGTAGGGCTTCTGATAATCCGTTCTTGAATATCCGCGATCACAGCAGGTGTACGAACGGACGGGGCTCGATTCTTTTTTGCGTTTGCAACTGACCCTGTTGTACGCCACTTTTTAACCATATCTTGTATACTGCTCTTTGCTGGTAGGCCAACGCCAGGAAACTTGCTTGCAAAAATGTCCCGCGTTTCCTTAATGGAACTGGTACACACGTACGCCTCCAGTATTGCGATTCTTTGTTGAAGAGAATACATCTTGCAGAGCTCCTTTACACACTGCTATAGCCACTTCCTCACGGCTTTCGACTGACACAGACTTTGGAATAGCCAGCCAGACACCGTTGCAACAAGGAGGAGTCGGTCGTGACGGAATTTCTCTGTGTACACGCTCGTGGTAGGCGGTCAGAGACGGGCCGGTTTTTCGTGCGCCACCCTGTATTATACAGGGTAGTTCAAAGAAGGGCACACATTTTTGGCTTCATGTGCCAAGGTTGCTTTACGATAAGCGATGTTAGGTACAGATAATGGAAAACATGTAAAGAAGTTAATCAATTCAATGAATGAGTGTCTATAAAGAGCCCAGCCATAATAATTTGATCACCTGTTGTTAATGCAACTTGTTAGTTAAATATAGGAAAAGACAAACGAAGAAAAGCCGATAATGGGCGAAACTTCATATTGGTACTTCGTTAAGCAACATTTTGCAGTACGAGGAACATCTACACTGTTTGGCATAGAATCGGTGAAAAGTTTGTATCACATTCAGATCGAGGTTCCCCCCATATGCTTATGAGAGTTTCCTCTAATTCCGATATTGGTGGGATATGAAGGGGTTTTTCTCAGCTGAATATCCAGATGCTCCCATAGGTGCTCGATCGGATTCATATATGAGCTTAGAGATACCCAGGGAATAGGTTTAATGCTTTGCTTCCTCTTCTCGACTCTAGTCACATGAGAAATGTGTCATGTAGTGCCATCCTCTTGAAAAATGTAGGCTTTCGTCTTTACTAGGGTAAACGGGGAAATATCGCGGGATCCGCTTGTTTTCAGCATGGTGAAAGTGACACTGATTATATGCCCACTTACAGTTTAGACGTCCTATTTATAGCTAATAGCACCTAATATACGAAAGGTTAGATATGATGCATTCATTCATGGGTGTGGCTAAATTAGTATGGCAGGGCTATGTATTATCAACTTTCAAAGCATATTATACGCTCAAAGTCTACATTATCCTGTATTTAATTTATAGTTGAGGGTCTCAATTTAAAAGATTTGAAAATCACTGACTCAACCACTAGAAGCTATAAACAAAGAAAACTTGCTGATCCGTGCAAAGCTTTAACGTTACTCAAGTAGCCGAGCTTGACAATACGATTGCATAGGGAAGGTCCCTATGAGCATATATGCATATACTGTATATGTCGTATGCAAGTTGACCTTTCCGTGCACGTTAATTTGCGTAAAATATACCGTGCAACTTGAACCCGTCTGATTTTCTTCATGCATGTTAACTTGCATGCATTCTTTCTTATGCAAGTTAACCCACACGATGAACTTTTGTGCAAGTTCAGGAGGGATATCTAGACCTTAAGGATATCCAGTTAGACGACTTTTATCGAGAATACAAGCAATGCGAGTAGTGCGCCTGGCTTTAGGAAAGCTATAAGGGGGGTGCCTTCATCCTTTCGTTTTCACCGACAGCCTTATTCTCTCACCTTGTACTGTACAGTGCGATACAAGTGAGAGTGAACGTTCTCGTTCTTCAATAACTCTAGTGGTTTTCGTCTAATTTATCCGCCTTCAAAATCCATGATAATGGGCACGGAAGCCCAGTTCATTGATTTTCTGTTGGAGCTCTACGAGAAGACCAAGTCTCCCAACAACCCAGTGTTCCCGATAGACAGGTATGGGAGGCTCGTCGCGGAGGTCAAGGCTGCAAAGATCAATGAGAAGTAAGTCCGGCTGAAGAGCGGAAATGCCATCCTAGTCTCCGAGGGATGAAGAGAAGCTTGTGAGGAAAGCGAACGATCCATGACGCATTTTGGCTGAAGGGTCGGGGGGGGGAGGTAGGGCAACAGAGAGGGGACTTTTTAAATCCCACCCGAGCAATATCAAGGGAGAAAACTATTACCTCCAAGGGGCGCCAGGGGGGGGGGGGAACTGTCCCTCGCCCCCTCTGCCCTCCCGTAAAATACATCACTGCGAACGATGCATCCAAGAAAAAGAGCAAGAGGTGCTAGTGCATAGCCAATAATACTCAGCGCAACTTTCGATGCCACGACGATAAACGTGTTCCAA